TGCATGAAATATCATTTGCTTGATTGGTGAGTGTACCACTCACTTGTTGTTTACAATGTGGCTTTGGTATATGTGAACTTGATGCCTTGAAGGCTTATTTGCTCCGTTGAACTTAATTAAGTGAGGGGGTACTTGATCGCCCTCACCCATTTGGTATCTCATATGACTGTCTACTGTTTTACTGTAATGACTGAATGATACATGAAATACTGAATTGATTCATGAATTTGGTGTCGCTTGGACGAGTATCCAATGACCATTACTGATACGACTGAGCTCAACCCTATTGGTAGTCGATTGGATCGAGCCGGCGAGGGCTTGATCGTGAAAATTGACGAGCCAAGGTGACTGTTATATGGAATCTTGTAGTAGTGAGACTCTTGATTCCGGTATACTCGAGTATTACCAAATTTCTACTGTTTGGAGTTCGGGCCCGGTAGGGGTATGTTGGGTGGAAGGAATGGAAGTAAAGTGGAGCCTACGGTTGGTTACTCTTAAACATTGACGGAGGGTCAATGAGATCCGATCAAGAATGCAAACGAGGAAAAGGGCTCTTGAGAGCCGCCCGTATCCTTTTATCACCACTATTGATGTGTGCCTTTGCTTACTTTTGATGTATTGGAATGAAAAGCTTGATGCTTATATGAACTTGGTTGCTTGAGTGGTATTATCTCACTGGGCGTAAGCTCACTTTATTCCTTTTGTTTTCCTTACAGGAAAATAAATACTTTTGGACTGGATTTGATAATTGGTTGCCGAATTGAGCTAGATGGACATATCTTTTGTATAGCTCCTTGATTGAAACCCTAAATATACTTTTGGGTCCGTTTCATTTTTGATTTGGCAAACCATACATGTATCAACTTTTGAATAACTTTTGTATGCCACTTTGGATTGTATATGCTTAATTTCAACATGTAAATATTTGCTTGATGTTTGGTTGGGTTTTGACGTGTCGGTTACTATTCATGGCCGACTCCGGTTTCATTTTTTTTATTTTGTGATTTTGACTTGTTTACGCGCGTTTGTAAGTTCCGGAACGTATTAGATCGCTCTAAACTGAACCGTTAGTCCTGGCGAGTGTTGGGCAGGCAGTCCGCTAACCCCTTTGGTTCACCTTAGGGGAAGGTGGGGCTGTCACATTAATCACGTAATAGTTGACACTCCGTCAACTTTCAAGTAAAGAAACCAATCCAGTAGAGCACCACTTACACTACTCTCCGTCCACCATTCAAACCCCCTACTGGGCCCAAAATCCTCAATAAACACTAGTGGTAGTACTCGAGTATACCGATTAGTCGAGGAGATATCACTCCACTCGACAAAGCAAGAGACCCAGGGTTCGTTACCCAATCGACCAAGCCCTTGCCGGCTCGACTCGAGTAACTCGCCACAGGATTTCTGGAATTCCAGGAAGTGCGCACATCATAAACAAGTATATCAAATCCAGTGCAACAATAAACAAGTATATGTCACATAAGGGCAAGTGCGATAAAGTACACTCTTGCCCGATCAAACCAATCATATATCATTTAATCATATTGATCACGTATTAGAAACAAGTGTCCAGTTCAATCAGGTATTTGGAAGCACTCACCAAAATGAAGTGTCCCTAGTGATCACGTCTGGGTTATACTCCGGGTTTGGAGTCCAAATCTACGATAAAACTTTTGTTTAAGAACTTTGAAAATGATTAAGGTTCGAAACGTAAACGTTTCGTTCAATAAGAATCAAGTAATTGACATTCGTTTGGAGAATATTCGTGAAACACTTGCTCGCTTTTCAAATTGCGAAAGTTTGCAGTAAGTATACTGGGAAATACTATTTGAGTCAAAAGTGTAAGGAAAACGCATTTCTAGAAGTCGTTATATCATTTCCCAAGGGTACAAGTTTGGCTAAGTTCTAACTTATATATCTCGATAAATGAAGACGCAAGCATCCTAGATGATTCAAGTGATAATCACTCTCAAGCCTTACACAAGTCGGAAGTATATTTCTCTAGTCCTCGGGCGTAAATTTGGGCAGCACGCCTTTGCGTTTACCTATTTTCCAGCCATTTATGGCTTCATTGTTTTTCTCAATCAGTCCCAAAGTCACACACAAAATAATCTCAGTTCAATAGCCACTCAATAGGCTCAAATTCGTACAAGTATAAAATCAAGCTAGGACAATGTTCAGAAAGGAAGTTTAAGGCATAAAACAAAAGACAGATTTGCCGTCACTTAGCGTAACGGGCACAACCGAAGCAAAGCTTATTGGATTGGGGTGAAATTTATACCGTTTCGAAGGTAAGACAAAGGTCTACAACTTTGATGAAAACCACTCAGTCCAGTTCGTAGTGTATCCAGGTCAAAATTTCAAATTACAGAACCAGAATCTCACATTCGGGCTAGTTAACCGCACTATACGTAAATGACAATAACTCAGGCTACCGAAGTCTGATTAAGGCGTTTTCAGGGCCGTTGGAAAGCTCAGACATAGTACTACAATTTCTATGTTTTGACCAAATGCTAATTCAGTACGGACCAGGGTGAACAGATGCGGTCAGATTGGTGAAAGGTCAACACTGTCCACAGGGCTCTACCTATGGCAGTCAGGGTATATTTGTCTTTTCATAAGCTACAGGGCTCAGATTGAGCTGAAATTTTGTAGGAAACTATAAAACATCATTCCCTACAATTTCATGTTTTGTGCCAAGCCTGATTCGGCCTCTATCATGGTGAACTAGAACCGGGCAGAACAGGGTATGCAAAAAATTAAATTCTGGAAATTTAGGAAGTCAAAGTACAATTCACATTTCTAGCTTAAAACCACCACTACCACCTCATATACAAGCTTATACACATCATATACCATCCATACAACAAGTATGATAAGTAAATCATTCAAACCCTAACTCAAATTCATCACCCCAATTATCCAAAATCACTTGAGTTAAGCATCACAAGCACAAATACAAGGTACTAAACAACCCCAACATGATTAAGGGGAAAAGAAAAGAGTGGTCAGCCACGTTACCTCAAAACAAGAGCTTGTAATGGTTATATTTCACCTCTCCTTGAAAAATTTGGCTCCCTAAGCTTCCCAAGCTCACAACTTACAAGTTAATCGGTGTAGTTTTCTTGTTTTCTCTCTTAATCAAGCAAAACCTAAGAATTATGGGAGCTATTCTTCTCTTGTTTTTCTCTCAAGAAGCACGGCTAAGATGGAGGAAAATGAAGAGCATTTGAGTAGTTTTTTAGTGATAAAGATGGTGGAAATTAGTTGGTCAATCAAGCCATGGATGGCCGCCACTTGTCACAACCAATTTGCATCTCAATTTTTTTTTCTTTTCTCTTGTTTTCCAAGTCAAAAATTTCGGCCCTCAAGATCAGATTTTGAGCTGATATTTAAGCTCTAATATCAAGGAGATTAACTTGATAAAAATGGTGGTCAAACGGTGTGTTCAATCGGTAGTGATCGGTACCCGTCGGTTCTCACCGTTTTTCCGTAAATCACACGTACTAGGGTTTTTACATACCATTCACTAACTTTTTATTATTACTTCAAATCATATATTATTTTCTCATCTAAAAGTCACTCTTACTCACCAAATTTAGCACACACTCCGTATCGGTTATTCACATTACGAAAAGACGTAAAAACCCTTAGTTATTGTAACGATGAAAATAAACAGAAAACCCTTGTTTTAATGATTATTTGTAGCTATTGGGGAAGTGAATGTATATTAAAGTTATTGTAAAGTAATAAATTCTAATAAGTTCCAAATTAAAGGGAATTTTAAGAAAAATATAAAGAATTTTACTGGTCCTCACACTCTCTCCCCCTTAAAAGAATTTTGTCCTCGAAATTCATACATGCACTCCGAAATAACGTAGGGTATTTTCCTTGTGTATCCGTTTCTAGCTCTCAGGTCTCATTATAGCCAAAACTTAGCTAAACAATAGAAATCACGAATCGTACCTTCTACTATCTCTGATGGTTCAGGTAATGCCTGTTGGTCCAAGGCGTACACTCTAGCTGGCACTCTTGGCTTAGTCCCTCCTACATTTGCTTGTTCAGGGTTTAGGTGTGACCTACGGGGACAAGTAGCAAGCTTGTGTTCGGCACTACCACACCATAAACATTTTCCTGCCTTTCGCCAACAATCATTCTCCGTATGATTGGCCTTCCCACAGTACCCACAAGATACTCAAGGGGCTGAGGTTTGACCTACTTGTGAGGCACCTCTTGCTTGCTCCTTTCCACGCGAGGCTCCTCTTGGAGTAATTTCCTTAGGTGTCCCTGAAATTTTCTCACCACCATCTCCTCGACCCATCTTAGAGGGTGGCATATCTAAATCACCTTGTCCTTGCCTTTGACTTCCACCAGGCGCACCTCTCCTTTTTGCATGAAAAGCTCTCACTTGTGCCCTAGCAATTTCTATTCTTTGAGCCTTCTCCAAAACTTCTGTAAAAGTGTTAATCTGGGCCGCTGCCAAGGCCTCCTGTATTTCCACATTGAGCCCCTGTACAAACCTCCTAACCCTCCGTTGCTCCGTAGCTATCAATTCGGGAGCAAACTTTGACAGTTTAGTGAATTGAGTCTCGTACTCGGATACACTTAGAGTTCCTTGACGGAGCTTAATAAAATCATGTTCCCTCTTCTCCTGGACTATCAGTGGAAGGTATTTCTCATTAAACTCTCGCACAATGTTCACCCAAGTCCATGTAGTCCCCTCTCTTTCCCATTTAGCCCTAATTACATTCCACCAGGCCCTAGCTGGTCCTTCGAACTGAAATACAATGAATTGTACCTGCCTATCCTCCGTATAGTTTAAGACAGCGAAAATATTAATCATCGACTCTAGCCATCTCTCAGCTGCCTCAGGGTCCGACCCTCCCAGGAACTTAGGAGGAGAGAATGTTTGGAATCTCTCGAGGGCCCTATCTTGCCCCATATCATCCCTAGGTTGATTTACAGGGACTTGACCCTGTTGCTCCACCAATTGAGCAAGGATATTAGTCATCTGTTGAATCGCAGTTGCCACCTGATCCCCCCGATAAGTTGGGGTCCAGGTTGTGGTCCACTCGTTTCACCCCTTTCCCCTCTGGGTTCTTGCGTGGGTCCCTGTGTCTGTCTACCCCCACGCCCACGATTAGAGCCACGCCCGCGAGTAGCTCCCTGATCCTGGCTTCTTCTACCTTCCATGCTTCACGACTAATCAACTATAGCAAAGAAATATAGCCAACTAATCAATGATAGAATATAGCCACTAAGTAACTAATAAAATAGGGCTCCAATAAACCTTTCCAAATCATAAAACAGGGGTAATGCAACACATTCAATCAAAACAAGTCACATAACCTATAGAACATTAACCCTAGGTATTGCTCAGGCACTACACTTAATCAAAACTTGAAGCACGTGAATAATATGGGTCCCAAATCCCACGAATATCTTCAATATATTTCAAGTCCAGACTATTCGCATCCCCCGTGCCTTTGTTTTGCCATCCAAACTTATCCTAATATTACTCGAGATCTCAACTTATCGTAAAGGTATCACTCAGGTACAAGAATCCGAAAATATGATAATTCACCAAGCTGGCCAGGCTTAAGAGCAAATCTCCCATATTTGAGATTCCTACCCAACATACATATCTAAGGCCCCAACAATAGACAATTGTTCCACACTTAACAAGTCAATCCCCACAGTCCGAGAACCCTTTCCCGGCACGAGCTCAATAAGAGCTCTGATACCATCTGTGACGGCCCCACCTTCCCTTGGGCGTACCCTAGGGTTTAGCGGACCGCCTGCCCAACTCTCGCCAGGACTCAATAATAAGATGCAATCTCAATAATAAACGAAATAATAGTTCCCAAGTTTGGAACATACGAATACATTCATTTCTATCTCAACCATCCATACAGTCCCAAATACATCAAAAGATTTAAGTTCTCAATACATTCAACCCTAATCGAGCGACTAGTGCGAGTACAATTACAAAAGTCAAAACAACTAGACTACGTTAGTCTGTACACGTCTCACGCCTCGCCGTACCCCTGTAAGGAAAACAAATGGCGTGGAATGAGCTAAAAGTCCAGTGAGGTTCCAAATAGCAGATTGACTATTATTTAAGTAAAAGTTTCCAATGTAGCAAAGTAATGAGCATGAAGAGTTCATAAAAGTAAGCAATAACACTTCAAGTAGCAATCTCAAAATGAGCGAGTGTAAAGTTTTAAAAGAAACAATAACACTACACGTAACGATCATCTCAAGGTATAAGGATACGGATGGCTCTCAGGAGCCAAATTCCCATTGCATCACCAGGAGCTTGATCACGTAATAGTTGACACTCCGTCAACTTTCAAGTAAAGAAACCAATCCAGTAGAGCACCACTTACACTACTCTCCGTTCACCATTCAAACCCCCTACTGGGCCCAAAATCCTCAATAAACACTGGTGGTGGTACTCGAGTATACCGATTAGTCGAGGAGATATCACTCCACTCGACAAAGCAAGAGACCCAGGGTTCGTTACCCAATCGACCAAGCCCTTGCCGGCTCGACTCGAGTAACTCGCCACAGGGTTTCTGGAATTCCAGGAAGTGCGCACATCATAAACAAGTATATCAAATCCAGTACAACAATAAACAAGTATATGTCACATAAGGGCAAGTGCGATAAAATACACTCTTGCCCGATCAAACCAATCATATATCATTCAATCATATATCATTAGAAACAAGTGTCCAGTTCAATCAGGTATTTGGAAGCACTCACCAAAATGATGTGTCCCAAGTGATCACGTCTGGGTTATACTCCGAATTTGGAGTCCAAATCTGCAATAAAACTCTTGTTTAAGAACTTTGAAAATGATTAATGTTCGAAACGTAAACGTTTCGTTCAATAAGAATCAAGTAATTGACATTAGTTTGGAGAATATTCGTGAAACACTTGCTCGCTTTTCAAATTGCGAAAGTTTGCAGAAAGTATATTGGGAAATACTATTTGAGTCGAAAGTGTAAGGAAAACGCATTTCTAGAAGTCGTTATATCATTTCCCAAGGGTACAAGTTTGGCTAAGTTCTAACTTATATATCTCGATAAATGAAGACGCAAGCATCCTAGATGATTCAAGTGATAATCACTCTCAAGCCTTACACAAGTCGCAAGTATATTTCTCTAGTCCTCGGGCGTAAATTTGGGCAGCACGCCTTTGCGTTTACCTATTTTCCAGCCATTTATGGCTTCATTGTTTTTCTCAATCAGTCCCAAAGTCACACACAAAATAATCTCAGTTCAATAGCCACTCAATAGGCTCAAATTCGTACAAGTATAAAATCAAGCTAGGACAATGTTCAGAAAGGAAGTTTAAGGCATAAAACAAAAGACAGATTTGCCGTCACTTAGCGTAACGGGCACAACCGAAGCTACGCTTATTGGATTGGGGTGAAATTTATACCGTTTCGAAGCTAAGACAAAGGTCTACAACTTTGATGAAAACCACTCAGTCCAGTTCGTAGTGTATCCAGGTCAAAATTTCAAATTACAGAACCAGAATCTCACATTCAGGCTAGTTAACCGCACCAAGTGTAAATGACAATAACTCAGGCTACCGAAGTCCGATTAAAGCGTTTTCAGGGCCGTTGGAAAGCTAAGACATAACACTACAATTTCTATGTTTTGACCAAATGCTAATTCAGTACGGACCAGGGTGAACAGATGCAGTCAGATTGGTGAAAGGTCAACACTGTCCACAGGGCTCTACCTATGGCAGTCAGGGTATTTTTGTCTTTTCACAAGCTACAGTGCTCCGATTGAGCTGAAATTTTGTAGGAAACTATAAAACATCATTCCCTACAATTTCATGTTTTGTGCCAAGCCTGATTCGGCCTCTATCTTGGTGAACTAGAACCGGGCAGAACAGGGTATGCAAAAAATTAAATTCTGGAAATTTAGGAAGTTAAAGTACAATTCACATTTCTAGCTTAAAACCACCACTACCACCTCATATACAAGTTTATATACATCATATACCATCCATACAACAAGTATGATAAGTAAATCATTCAAACCCTAACTCAAATTCATCACCCCAATCATCCAAAATCACTTGAGTTAAGCATCACCAGCACAAATACAAGGTACTAAACAACCCCAACATGATTAAGGGGAAAAGAAAAGAGTGGTCAGCCATGTTACCTCAAAACAAGAGCTTGTAATGGTTATATTTCACCTCTCCTTGAAAAATTTGGCTCCCTAAGCTTCCCAAGCTCACAACTTACAAGTTAATCGGTGTAGTTTTTTGTTTTCTCTCTTAATCAAGCAAAACCTAAGAATTATGGGAGCTATTCTTCTCTTGTTTTTCTCTCAAGAAGCACGGCTAAGATGGAGGAAAATGAAGATCATTTGAGTAGTTTTTTAGTGATAAAGATGGTGGAAATTAGTTGGTCAATCAAGCCATGGATGACCGCCACTTGTCACAACCAATTTGCATCTCAATTTTTTTTCTTTTCTCTTGTTTTCCAAGTCAAAAATTTCGGCCCTCAAGATCAGATTTTGAGCTGATATTTAAGCTCTAATATCAAGGAGATTAACCTGATAAAAATGGTGGTCAAATGGTGTGTTCAATCGGTAGTGATCGGTACCCATCGGTTCTCACCGTTTTTCCGTAAATCACACGTACTAGGGTTTTTACTTACCATTCACTAACTTTTTATTATTACTTCAAATCATATATTATTTTCTCATCTAAAAGTCACTCTTACTCATCAAATTTAGCACACACTCCGTACAGGTTACTCACATTACGAAAAGACGTAAAAATCCTAAGTTATTGTAACGATGAAAATAAACTGAAAACCCATGTTTTAATGATTATTTTTAGCTATTGGGGAAGTGAATGTATATTAAAGTTATTGTAAAGTAATAAATTCTAATAAGTTCCAAATTAAAGGGAAGTTTAAGAAAAATATAAAGAACTTTACGGGTCCTCACACTCTCTCCCCCTTAAAAGAATTTTGTCCTCGAAATTCATACATGCACTCCGAAATAACGTAGGGTATTTTCCTTGTGTATCCGTTTCTAGCTCTCAGGTCTCACTATAGCCAAAACTTAGCTAAACAATAGAAATCACGAATCGTACCTTCTACTATCTCCGATGGTTCAGGTAATGCCTGTTGGTCCAAGGCGTACACTCTAGCTGGCACTCTTGGCTTAGTCCCTCCTACATTTGCTTGTTCAGGGTTTAGGTGTGACCTACGGGGACAAGTTGCAAGCTGGTGCTCGCCACTACCACACCATAAACATTTTCCTGCCTTTCGCCAACAATCATTCTCCGTATGATTGGCCTTCCCACAGTACCCACAAGATACACGAGGGGCTGAGGTTTGACCTCCTTGTGAGGCACCTCTTGCTTGCTCCCTTCCACGCGAGGTTCCTCTTGGAGTAATTTCCTTAGGTGTCCCTGAAATTTTCTCACCACCTCCTCGACCCATCTTAGAGGGTGGCATATCTAAATCACCTTGTCCTTGCCTTTGACTTCCACCAGGCGCACCTCTCCTTTTTGCATGAAAAGCTCTCACTTGTGCCCTAGCAATTTCTATTCTTTGAGCCTTCTCCAAAACTTCTGTAAAAGTGTTAATCTGGGCCGCTGCCAAGGCCTCCTGTATTTCCACATTGAGCCCCTGTACAAACCTCCTAACCCTCCGTTGCTCCGTAGCTATCAATTCGGGAGCAAACTTTGACAGTTTAGTGAATTGAGTCTCGTACTCAGATACACTTAGAGTTCCTTGACGGAGCTTAATAAAATCAAATTCCCTCTTCTCCTGGACTATCGGTGGAAGGTATTTCTCATTAAACTCTCGCACAAAGATCACCCAAGTCCATGCAGTCCTCTCTCTTTCCCATTTAGCCCTAATTACATTCCACCAGGCCCTAGCTGGTCCTTCGAACTGAAATACAGTGAATTGCACCTGCCTATCCTCCGTATAATTTAAGGCAGTGAAAATATTAATCATAGACTCTAGCCATCTCTCAGCTGCCTCAGGGTCCGAGCCTCCCAGGAACTTAGAAGGAGAGAATGTTTGGAATCTCTCGAGGGCCCTATCTTGCCCCATATCATCCCTAGGTTGATTTACAGGGACTTGACCCTGTTGCTCCACCAATCGAGCAAGGATATTAGTCATCTGTTGAATCGCAGTTGCCACCTGATCCCCCCTATAACTTGGAGTCCAGGTTGTGGTCCACTCGTTTCACCACTTTCCCCTCTGGGTTCTTGCATGGGTCCCTGTGTCTGTCTACCCCCACGCCCACGATTAGAGCCACGCCCGCGAGTAGCTCCCTGATCCTGGCTTCTTCTACCTTCCATGCTTCACGACTAATCAACTATAGCAAAGCAATATAGTCAACTAATCAATGATAGAATATAACCACTAAGTAACTAATAAAATAGGGCTCCAATAAACCTTTTCAAATCATAAAACAGGGGTAATGCAACACATTCAATCAAAACAAGTCACATAACCTATAGGACATTAACCCTAGGTATTGCTCAGGCACTACACTTAATCAAAACTTGAAACACGTGAATAATATCGGTCCCAAATCCCACGAATATCTTCTATATATTTCAAGTCCAGGCTATTCGCATGCCCCGTGCCTTTGCTTTTGCCATCCAAACTTATCCTAATATTACTTGAGATCTCAACTTATCGTAAAGGTATCACTCTTTGGTACTCAGGTACAAGAATCCGAAAAAATGATAATTCACCAAGCTGGCCAGGCTTAAGAGCAAATCACCCGTATTAGAGATTCCTACCCAGCATACATATCTTAGGCCCCAACAATAGACAATTGTTCCACACTTAATGATGTGTGCACGAGTCTCGGCCCACGCAATGACCCAGTCCGAGTCCCATTGGGCCCAGTCACACAGGCACGGGCCAAGCTCTTCAAAGAATCACTCCAAGCTCTGGTTAGAGTCGTCCAAGACCAACATGGAGTTCGCAAAGATATTGAGGGCTTGGAGAGAGACAATCGAGTCATTTACACCATGATCCAAGCCCATGAAGACTCAAGTGGACCTCCAAGAGAATCGGCCGAGTAGGGCCTTAGTCTTTGATATTTATTAGATTGGATTAGTTGCTTAGTAGAATGGGCTGGCCCATCTTTACACCAAGATGGCCGACCACCCCTTTAAGGTTTCTTAGGGTTTCTTTTATTGTTACCTCTAGCCTATAAATAGGCTTGCTTTGTAAGGTTTAGGGGTAGACGTTTTATCAATAAAGTTTGCATATTTTTCGATTCTTCTTGAGAGAGAGATTCGACCCTTTACTTGCTCTGGCAAGGGTTTTGAGCAATCTTGCGTCTCGTCCTAGATTGTTCTACCGACCTATCCCGTGGAGTATCCACCTTCATTGGAGTCGTCGTCCTACCGTCTTGAATCAAATCGTGTCGTCCGTTTGGTTCTAGATCTCGCAATTCCAAGCGTTGGACATCCTCGTTAGATCCTTGGGCAAACGTGCTACGTGTCTCGAAACAAGTTGATCGAGGAACGTATCAGTTGGTTTCAGAGCTTAGGTGGAGGTATCTTTCGTTATATCCATTGTTTGTCCTTGTTTATCGTTAGTTTCCTTTGTGTCCGCTGCAATTGTCTAAAAAAAAAAAAAATTCTGGTCGTTGTTTTGTTGTTGAAGTCGAGTCCAAATCTGTCCGTTTGTGCCTTGTCTTACAAAAAAAAAAATTTCTGACCGTGTAGTGTCTTGTTCATTGTCGCGTCCTTTGTCATCAATTTCTGCCGTTTGTTGTGTATCATCGTACCTTTAAATTCTGGCCGAAATCTGTGTTCCTTTGTGTTGCAAATCTGTCCGTATCCATCAACTCAAAAAAGAAAAAAAAAGGGGAAATTGCCGTAGTTGTGTTGTTGCGTTGTTGCCCAAGTCTGTCCGTAAATTTGTAGTTTGCCCTAAATCTGTCCAAGCCGTGGACTATTGCTGGAGCAACAAGAAAACAAGAAGCCGCGGCTAGGGTTTCCTCCTTGGCGGTTAGGGATTCTTGCTTGCGCTAAGATTTCCTTTCCTTGTCAAATCTGTCCGAGTTTAACTTGCCTTATCCAAGTTGTTTTAGCTAGTTTTCTAAACTGATTTGGAGTTTAAACTTGTTGGTGTTGTGAATCTTGAAGGAACTCTACAAGAATCTAGGGTTTCTTGAGGTTCTTGAAACTAATCTTGAAGTTCTTGAAACTTATCTTGGAAGTTTTTGTAAGAACTTGTGGTTCTTGTTCGTTGATTGTGAGAAGGAAAGCAGGCTGACCAGATTTTATTTTATTCATTCGGCCAAGTTGTTGAGTTGTTCTTTAAGTCTAAAAAAAAAAAAAATAGAAACGAAAAAAAAAAGAAAGAAGCCCATTCGGCTAGGGCAAGGAGCCCGAGCAAGGAAAGAAAAGGAAGAACATGGTGCTTTATTACCAAGTCAGATTTGTTACACCCAAAACAGAAATTTAAACCCCAAGAAAAAAAAAAAGTGCTCAAAAGTTTTGACCTACCTCTTCTTGAAGTTCTTGATCACATTGTGCCTTGATCACTTGAACCACCCTTCGAGGTTCTTGAATTTGACCTTGGTTCTTGAAAACTTGCACCTCCCTTCAAACAAACAGTTTCTTGTACGTTCTTGCGTCTATACGGGGCTTTCTTGGCTTAGGAATAAATTTCTTGGGAGCTTCTTGAGCAGCCCATGGGGGGGGTTCCTTGAGAGACATTGCTCACGTTGTTTTGAGGCGCCATTGTTTTGAAACAAGAACCGAATCTGCCTTGCCCTTGTGAAGAAAGAAGGGAGCCGAATTGTTTGTGTCTTCAGGGTAAGAGAGCCGAGTTTCTTGGAGGAAGAGGCGGCTGTGAGGAGAGGGGTTTTTATAGGGAAATAGCCGACCTTTGGGAGAGGGTTTTAGAGGGAAAACAAATCTGGAAATTTCGGTTAAGGGGAGGAGAGAATCCAAATCTGTTTGGAGAGGAATTTGGAAGCTTCTAAAGGTTGTTCAAGAGAGGTTTCCTAAAGAGTTTCCCAAAACCAACGTGTTTTCCAAATTGATTTAGGAAACTAAGTAAATTACTTGGATAACTCTTTGTTTTGCTTGGACACTTTCCTATTTTCTCTCCTTGCTTTAGGGAACCACTCCTACTTTCACTCCTACACTTTAGGAAAACTAGGGTTTCCTTCCTTAGCATTATTTCCAAACCTGCCTGCCACCCATAACCCTTCAAATTCGTCCATTCCATCTCGCACTCTCACCCAAATTGTGTCTTACACTGGTGATTACTCTTGGGAAAAGGTTGGAGACAAATCCATTGGACTTGAGCAAGATTTCTCAACTACCTAATCCAACAGGTAAAGGTACTTGGTAAGTCTACTAAGAGTGTTTTGAGTGCTATACACGAGCGTGAGTGATACACTAAGGGAGTAAAGTGAGGACACATTTGCACTATTCTTTGTACTACTAACCTTTTGCAGGGCGTAAGGAGAGACATGGAGCAAGATCAACAACCACCTTCCAAAGACTATTCTCTGTTGTTCACCGCCATGAGGCATGAACTCAAACGCATTAGTGAGCAACAAATGGAGGAGTTGCACACCCGGTTTGACGAACTCGCCAAGAGTCTCACCCCAGGCTCTCGTTCTGGATCACGCAACCGGAATAGCAGTGGCCTCAAAGGAGCACCCAGTGAGGACTACTCCTCCAGTGAAGACGACGAGCCACCCGAGAAGCCTCGACGGGACACGCCTAAGAACGAACTCAAGGGGCTTAAAATTCAAGTCCCCGCATTCAAAGGAAAAAGTTACCCTGAAGCTTACTTGGAGTGGGAAGGCCGTATCGAGATGGTCTTCGACTGCTACGATTACAGTGAGGAACAAAAGGTTAAAATTGCCACCGTGGAGTTCACCGACTACGCACTAGTCTGGTGGGACCAAGTAAGGACCCATAGGAGGCGGATGGGCGAACCACGTGTCCGGACTTGGAGAGAACTCAAGGCACTGATGCGCAAGCGATTTGTTCCTAACTACTACAATCGCGATCTCCACTCTAAACTTCAAACTCTCACTCAAGGCAACAAGAGTGTGGAAGACTACTACAAAGAGATCGAGATGGCCATGATGAGGGCCAACATTCAAGAGGACAATGAAGCCACGATGGCTAGGTTTCTTAGAGGTCTCAATCCTGACCTTCAAGAAGCCTTGGAGCTCCAACATTACTTGGACATACACGACCTTCTAGAACTCGCTATTAAGGCCGAGCGGGGAAAAAAACTAAGACGAGGAGCACGTACTTTCCAACCTTCTAACACCACTTCATGGAGGGGCAACCAACCACGAAGGGCGACCCACGAAGTTGGAAGTAGGGCGATACCAACCTCTTCTAACCGAATCCAAGGTAACGCCTCTAACCGCAATTCCTATTCTACCCCTAACAAGGTTTCCGATGCATCCAGGTCCACTTCAAAGGCACCGCATGAGACTCCTAAGGCTAGGAGTAGAGACATCAAGTGTTTCAAATGCCAAGGGTTTGGGCATATTCAGTCTCAGTGTCCAAACCAACGGGTCATGCTCATCACTCACAATGGCGAGATCGTGTCTAATGATGACGATTGTGAGGAGATGCCCGAATTGGTCAAAGACGACTGCCTGGAAGACGAGTCAGCTGAGGAAGATTGCTCGCCTACCCAAGGAGAAGTAGGGTACTTGGTGGCACGACGAGTGCTAACCGCTCGAGTTAAGGAGGACGAGCAACTGCAACGCGAGAACCTGTTTGACACCCGCTGTAAGGTAGGAGACAAGGTGTGCAGTCTCATCATCGACGGTGGGAGTTGCACGAATGTGGCAAGCCTACTCATGGTTGAGAGCTTAGGGCTCCCCACTACTAAACATCCACACCCTTATCGCCTCCAATGGCTGAGTGAGGATGGAGAGGTACGGGTCTTCAAGCAGGTATGCATTCCCTTTTCCATTGGCACTTACACTGATGAAGTTGTTTGTGACGTCGTGCCTATGAACGCAACCCATGTCATCCTGGGGAGAACCTGGCAATTTGACAAACACGTCACATTCGACGGAAGGGCAAACAAATACACCCTCTTACATGATGGCAAGAGCAAAGTCCTCACCCCACTTACACCTGCACAAGTGTATGAGGACC